ACCTCTCGAGCAGTAATATTTAATCTGGAATAGATAATTTATAAAACGCATAATTTACATTTGTAGATTCAACACGAAAGGATGTTGTCCTTGATCGATTGAGGGAAAAAGTAAACAGCAAGAATTCATCCCTAGATGCTCGTCAAATACTGCACTCTCTTAAAGCTAACGTTGATAGCCTGAACTTAAGGACGTTCGTGGGCAATGGACTCCGTGATGTCACTTCGATGAATTTTTTTTAGGAAAAACGCGATGACATAAACTTGCAAAAAAGCGATAAAAACATGGAGGTCACCGGCTTCATTTTAGACATAATTCTTGCACAAAATCACCAAAATTGTCAAAGAAAAGCGCGCGAAAAGTGTTCGATGCCGTCTGTCAGAAAAGTTCCCAAAAAATATAAAACACATATCAATTGATCCAAATTTTTCCACAAAAGCTGAGGTCGATAATTGTTAATATTGTTTACGAGACTTTGAAACATTACATGATGTGATTTTTGATTTCTTTAGGATTTTTGTCGGTGTCAAGCCGCCACATTCGACGTCAACAAGAGGTGTCATTTCCAGATAAAACTGCTATATTTCAGAAACCTCTGATGTCGTTTTTTCCGCTTTCACATATGTTATATTTTTTCCAAGTAGCCTTCTTTTAAGATAAATAGAAATTGGGGTTACCGGGTTCGTTGTGGAAATATTTCGTGTCGAAATCTAAGATTTTGCAGGCCATCTTGAATTTGCGAGAGATTTTTTTCTGCCAATCTACGACTTTTTAGAGCATTTTCAACACTTTTTCGCCTCATCAATTCTTTAGCAGTAGTAAATCTCCCATTTTTTGAACGTGAAGACATTTTGCATACAAGTAGAAGTTCAGAAAAGTACGTACAAAACCACACAAACACATAACAAGAGCGGTCGCCATCTTTGTTTTGCTTGATGCAAATTTCGTGACAACTTCCGGTTTTGGCGTGCGTAGAAAGCGTGCGCAGTAGCAATGCCCTCGAACGTCCTTAAGTGTCCATGCGGTAGAAAAACAATGTAAAAATTCATCTCTCCTATCAATAACTGCATCCGAAATKGCAGATTACAACAAGAGTGTTGGGCTTCACTCGAAGACACATCACTCGACGAAAGCACATCACTTTCACATGATTCATTGGTGTCTTCAACTTCAGACGTATCAGTAGTATCTTCGTGACCCTGCCCGACACTTTCACCATTTATAAACCAAAACCACTGCTTTCTCCTTCTTCCTCTGCATTTAATTACCGCTTAATATCAAATCGTTTTCGTTCAAAAAAAGTAATCTCTCTCTCGACCTCCATTTTGAATTATTTTCTCGCGCCTTACCACAAACGGCTGAGCGACCTCGCCTCATACGATCTGACCAATCATGTTCCATTTCTAAAAATACCTCTTTTTCTAAAAATAGAACGAAGGGCTGATATGAAGGGTTAAGAACGCAGTACCAGGGATTCCTTCTCTTACCTCATTTTCTCTTGCTATATATAAAATACAATATAAGATAAAAAAGATATATAAAACTACATAACAATTCTATGATTAATAAGTGTAAATATATAAAAACACTAACATGATAAATTGGAACTGGAAAATTTTTACAAAATATAAGATATAATAATTAATATAGCACTGAATTACTTCGAATACTCTTAAAAAAGATTACCTTGTTTTCAGAAGAGTCCACATCGGATGAAAGTGATATTGAATAGGTGATGGGTCGGTTTCGGCTTCCTTCATAAACTTGTTGATTTGCTCTGCTGTAAGCTCACCCGACAAATCTGATCGTGTCTCAGATTTACCGCCTCGGACGACTAACTTCTTTGTCATTGATTGTGATGAGGATTTCTCGATGTCCTTCTTGGTCACTCCTGAACAAGCGGAAACCTCTGCTTTTCCTGCTTGTGTTGGACCAGCTAATGACAGGCAAGCCTTAACAGTGAAATCTTTCTGGGTGAACTTCTTGTCAGACTTGGCAAAGACATATTGATAGATACTGGAGCCTGAGATTGACTCTTTGACAAAGTGGGATCCATACTTTTCCAGAAATGCGCTGTATTTTCTCCAGGACGTAAGCTTCCATGGCTGCTCCACCTTCTTTGGGAGAGCTTTGAAGTCTTTTACGAGATCTTTAACCAAGGGTTTATTAATAATGCAGTCCTTCWTGAGGGCAGATGACAAGCCATAAGCTTTGAGATTCAGTGACRTGCCTTGAATGTTGGTTTCTCCTGAAGCAACGTTGTTTGTGACGGCTTCTACGGATGCACCAAGAGTGTATGCACCTTTYAGGCTCCCACTGACCTTAGTGTTGGTAGAAACTGATTGGTAAATGGACTCTGTACTRCTATAGAATGAGTCATCCTTTTGGATAGCACCAAGTTTATCACTTTTCGTACATTCTTCGATTGGAAGGTCCTCGAAGATTTTTGCTCCCGTTGCTTTGAATTGCTTGGTTAGTAAATCTTCTTTAGCGATTTGAAATCCTTGACCAAGGGCTCCTCTTGAGGAAGCGGAAGGTTCKGCTTTTATTTCCACTTTCTCTGGTTTTTCTTCAGGGTCAGATTCTACKTGGTAGTTGGGATCTTCTTCGAYTGGGMTGCATTGCGCTACTACTGCTAAGACCAGTAGTAACAAAATATTCTTAYTCTTGAAATATGGACTCATAATTGTTCCTAAAAAAAACTTAAGAAGAATGATTATGATTTCTTTTAATTTCAAATTATATAGTAAACTATGATTTCTCTTAAATTCAAAAGGTTGTTTCGCCACGACAAAAAATAYTCTTAATGAAAACTTTACTTAACACGTTGAATATTCTTAATTGAAAGATGATTTTGATAGCTGACAAAGTATTTTATCATATTCTAAATAGAGGCAAACAGTTTGGAGACACACGCACACTTTAATATAACTATGTCTTGTCCAGAAGAAGTTTTACGAAAGCTGTACGACTTTGTTTCAGGGATTGCCTCTGGGAACAGCTTTGCTGTCCAAAACATTCGAAAATTTAAAATCGACAACAGCTCTTAAAACATAAGCGTCTTTTTGTATTTTGTATTTTATGAATATAAGGTATTTTCGTGATGAAATGGAATAATGATTACATCTCTAAATTTGAAAATGTAAGAAACACGATTTATCCTTATTAGAGTGGAAGGGTATACYTACCGTGTCGTAACCGATCAGCTAGCGAATGAATGTACTGGCATGTAACAGAAGATCTTTATTCCCTTCCACTTCATCATAACGTAATCATCATTATTCTATTCCTTTGAGTTTGCCGTTTGCTAGTCCTTTTTTGTGAATCCAAGTGGCAAGGGTAAACGGTGGGCGGGAACCAATTAATAGATTGGATCGAAACAATTATAACTTCTTATTGAAAAGTCCTATATCAAAGTCTTGCGACCTTTGAGGAATCGCAAGATAAAAGACGGGATATATAGCTAGCTTAGTGTAACAAAATTTAAAATGAAGAGTAAAAAAAGTAAACGATGGACATCGGACGATGGGAATCAAGCGAAAGGCAGCTTTGCTCAACCGTCGTTGTCTGATCGTGAATTGTATCGGGGCAAATATTCATATTGAATTAATACTAGATAAAGGTGACGGTTCTTTTGAGATCAAAATTAATTACATGAGCGGATGATTTAGGGGATTGTTGTCAATGGGGAATTGCCCTGTTTTTTATCGTCTGTCCATAATTGTAAATGTAAAATGTAGTTGTGTGGAGTGTGTATCATGGCAAATCACAATAAAATGAAAAATACTAAAATACTGTTCTTTTTATAACCACGCACACACAAACACACAAAAAGAATAAATAAAAAAACAACGACAACACTGAAATAAACA